CATTCTATGGCTAACTGTAAAATACTTAGTTTTTCACTTTCATGCCTTCAATTAATTTTATAGATATTTCTATATGTGGTTTTTTTTTGAGATATTTGAGCAGCTTTACTGGTGAACACAATCGTTGGTTGATATGGATCGATACTTTATGAAATTTGATCTCTTGGATAAGGAAAATTATATTTCTCGATATTAGGACCATTAAATTATCGATTAAATAGAATTTCGAAACTTTATACAAAGTAATTTTTGAGAATATAATACAATTGATCATAAAATTCTTGAATTATTGTAAAATTATTGTAAATTCTTGAAATATCTTATCAAAATCATGCTTTACAAATCCTTATTTTTAAAGATTTTTTATTGTTGAAAGAAAACTTTTTAATTTTAAAGTATATTATAAATATTTTTTATGTTACTTCTACAGTTTATATCTTCTTATAATTATTTACGCAATTTATATTGATTGTGTTCTAAAGAATAATTAAATTTGTATTTACATTCTGCTGATGATTTAGCAAGTAATTCAAGTTTTGATAATTCGCCCAAATTTAATAATTTATTGAATTTTTTATACTAAATCTCTATATACAGTCTTTTCTATCACTAAATATGCCATCATTTAGGCTTCATTAAATTCAAAAATATTAAATCTCAATTATGATTACAAAAATGGAAATAAATATGAGATGTGTGCTTTTTTTAATTTAAATTTTAACCACTTTTGTAATTTAGATAATCTTCAAGAACAATTCGTGAGCTTCATCTAATTTGGTTCAATTAGCCCTTTAAGGTTCTTAGAACTATAACTTTTTATTTTTAATTGAAAAAAATTAAAGACCAAAATATATTCAAATTGAAAACTATTAAAATGCTAAAATTTAAATCCTTTTATTTGAAAATTTATATTAGAAAAGTAAATGAACAAAAATTAAAACTTGTGAATATCATTAGAAAAATTTATATAAAATATTACATTAGGGTGGATTCAAAACTAGATATGTAAGTTAAATGCAATGCTAGGAGAACTTTTATGATTTTCGAATATAGTCATTATGATGCTAACTATAACAATATGTTAATAGTGTTAATTCAATTATTGGCATTTAGGATGAAACAAAATTGCCCTCGATTTTAAAAAATCTAATAAATCAACTCTATTAATTAGAATATTTAGAGGAGAACCCTAGTGAGTCTACCTATACTAAATTAGAAGTCTAAATTTATTAAACTTAAGTTGATACCTTAATTAAAATGAAAACCTTCCTAAGTAATTATTTTATACAATATATTAATGTATATTAAAAAGCCTTTTTTAAATTATTATATATCCAAATCCGATTGTGAATATAATGACATAATATAATAGTGATGATTTTTAATAATTAATATTAGAAACTACTCTTAACATTATGGAACTAATTTCTAAATAGCTGAGAAAACTAGACATTTTTGGATAAGAAATCAGATTATAAGCTGATAGTCAATCAGCATTCAGAACGAAAATTGGAGCAATAATGACTCTAATTTTATTTACTATTTTAGCATATTCTAGTAACTCTTTTATTCTAGAGATGAACAAAGGGAAAAATGCTGTACTTAATTCAAAAGATGCAGTAATTAATCCAGAAGATGTAAACAATAATACGACCATTTTATAGGGTTATACATTTCATTCTACTGAACTTCTCTTTGCTGCTGGACTTGTAGACACTATGGGTTAGCCTATTCCCAACGATAACAATAGAATATTTTCAATAACTTTTTACTTTTGTCAAAAATAATACGGTGAAAATAATTGTGTAAATATTCCAAGCATTATATGTGGAAATCGCACTTCGAATATTTCTTTAGTAATCTAAACATCATATTAATAGCTGGACGTACCACAGAAATATTTAAATATTACATATTGTATAGATGAGAATTATCTTAATAATAATCCTGAAATAAGAATCTAGGGATCACCAAAATTAGAAAATTTTACTCAATTTGGAGGGCTAGTATAAAGATGTTAAAATAGCACTCTTAGTTCAAGTATTTATTTCTAAAACTATAAGATTGTGCCTCAACTGAAGAGATCGATAGATATATCACAAATTCGAATCTTTTTTACTCATACTCTTTCCATTACTTTAATAAAGAATAAGAGGTCTCCCCATATGAAAAAGCATAAAGCATAGATTCGACTCCGATTTTTAATAAAGTTGGAAAGTATATTCGAATATATTTCAAATATTCTCAAAGCTTTATAGAATATAATCCGTTTTACTTTTTTCCCTAGCTAAAACAGATTGAAGGTATTGAATATGAAAATACCGCTATTGACAGTACATTAAATTATGAAGACAATAATAATATAGCGTTGTTTGAACTAAATTTAGATGCAAAGAAAAAAATACATTTTATAACCTACTAGACGTTGATGGATGTCGCCGCCAAAATTGGAGGACTATTTACAATCTTAAGAGTCATTTTTGATGTGGTCCTATTTCCTTTCTAACGCATTAGCTATAGACTTTATTTAGCAAATTGTTTATCAAAATAACAACGCAATTTTATAAACAATGATAAAAATAAAGGTTAGGATGAACTTAATCTTTATAAATTAATTACTTCATCCGTTTCCAGATAATTATATTTAAGTTAGTCAATGTTGATAGATAAATTTCTTGATATTACCGAAATATTGATTAATCCTATAAAAATAACAAAATAAATGGAGGATTTGCAAGGATCAATAAAACGATATGATATTTTAAATTCTCGAAATAAAAACATTGTTTCAGAATTAGATGAGGAATTAGTATTTGATAAAAATGATGGGTTTTTATGCATGAAATAAATGAGTCCGTTATCAATAAATGAAGAGTTCAGAGTAGGAAGCCAAATGAATATTAAAATTCCATAACTAAAAGTAAATTGATTATTACATTTAAAAGCATTCTTATATTAAATAATGATATTTAAACAACAATACATACATATTTTATTTATTAAACCATTCAGATAATTTTGATTGAAAATAATTAAAAAGCCTTTTAGTATAATAATAACTAAATTTCTACAATATAATTTTATTCAGGTTTTGAAAATGTCTATTTTATTAAATATTTACAATTATAAGAAACAATTTAAATTATATTTGATTTAATAATTCGATTAAGAATTATTTTTCTTTAGCATAAATCAATCAAAACAATAATTTATGTAAATAAATATTCTTATTTTATATATATTTATTCTTTAATTCTCCAACAACTAAATATCAGAATGATCATAATAAAGCCTTAAATTGCAGGCTAATGAAAAAGACTAATTGTTTAAAATAGAAAAACCAATTTTATATGAATGATATGAGATTAGAACTTAATCAAAAATAGATTCTGATTATAATATCATCTACTTGAGGTTACTAAAATGTAATTCACAAAATTCTCTCAATAGGTTGAGCTTCTATTGAATATTAATGCTCTCACTACAAATAAATCCCACTAAATATAGAAATTTTAGTAACTTTTGTATTTGTAGTACCTATTAAATAGAATTATCAATTATACATAATTTAATTGCATTTTAGTTTCAATTAATTGTGAACCAAAAATCTGCAATTCATCGAAATCGTAGAATTATATAATACTAAAATAACATAAGATATCGAAATTCTCATTTTATCTACATTATCAAAAGAGTTTATTTCGATGAAGATAAAAGCCACATCATATACTCTAATAATATGGATATTAAATATTTATCAATATATTATAAATAACAATATTATTAAATTATGATCTGATATAATATAAGAAGATATTTGATTTAATAAAAAATTAATTATTCAAATTCTTATGGTTTGGTTCTAAATTATGAATAATAAAGTATATTAAAAATGTTTAAAAACCTCACAAAGTTAGCCTGTTGCTTAGGATTAGCTAAGGGAGTCTTTGTAGTTTGTTCTCAAAATGTCCATTCTCATGATAGGTTGCAGCATTACAATTTTCTAAGTGAAGATGAATTACATAACTTATTAAAAAAACATCAAAACTTATCAATTCTCAACAGAAATTAGACTGAACATATTCTATCTTTGATGAGAGAATCTAATTCTGATATTGTGGTAATTTAAAAAAAAGATATTTTAGACATTCAGAAAGAATGCAGATAGATTGATTAGAATCTTGATGGAATAAGCTTTGGCTCAATTGTAAAGAAAAAATTCTATAAAACAATCACCTTTGGGCTTTTATGATGCAAATGAAGTGAAATTCTCTGATGAAGAGTAGATATTTTATTTATTTTAGAATCTGTATTGTAAGTATTCTAAGATCAGGAAATGCATTCTTAAATGAAGGTTTAAGAGTGATTTAAGGGGCGTCAATTGGATAAATATTGATTCAAAGAAACGAAGAGACATCGATGCCAAAATATTTCTTTGAGAAACTTCCAGAGAATATTCAGGAGTAATAAATTATTATGGTTGACCCAATGCTTGGAACGGGAGGAAGTGCAAGTATGGCATTAAAGATATTATAAAATTATGGTGTAAAGGAAGAAAATATTATATTTTTAACTTTGGTTAGTTGTGAACAAGGGTTGAATAAAGTCTTTAAAGAGTATCCAAACATTAAAATCATAACAGCTCAAGTTGATCCAATACTGATAAAAGAGATTAATTATCTGGCTCCTGGAATAGGCGATTTNCCATTCAGATAATTTTGATTGAAAATAATTAAAAAGCCTTTTAGTATAATAATAACTAAATTTCTACAATATAATTTTATTCAGGTTTTGAAAATGTCTATTTTATTAAATATTTACAATTATAAGAAACAATTTAAATTATATTTGATTTAATAATTCGATTAAGAATTATTTTTCTTTAGCATAAATCAATCAAAACAATAATTTATGTAAATAAATATTCTTATTTTATATATATTTATTCTTTAATTCTCCAACAACTAAATATCAGAATGATCATAATAAAGCCTTAAATTGCAGGCTAATGAAAAAGACTAATTGTTTAAAATAGAAAAACCAATTTTATATGAATGATATGAGATTAGAACTTAATCAAAAATAGATTCTGATTATAATATCATCTACTTGAGGTTACTAAAATGTAATTCACAAAATTCTCTCAATAGGTTGAGCTTCTATTGAATATTAATGCTCTCACTACAAATAAATCCCACTAAATATAGAAATTTTAGTAACTTTTGTATTTGTAGTACCTATTAAATAGAATTATCAATTATACATAATTTAATTGCATTTTAGTTTCAATTAATTGTGAACCAAAAATCTGCAATTCATCGAAATCGTAGAATTATATAATACTAAAATAACATAAGATATCGAAATTCTCATTTTATCTACATTATCAAAAGAGTTTATTTCGATGAAGATAAAAGCCACATCATATACTCTAATAATATGGATATTAAATATTTATCAATATATTATAAATAACAATATTATTAAATTATGATCTGATATAATATAAGAAGATATTTGATTTAATAAAAAATTAATTATTCAAATTCTTATGGTTTGGTTCTAAATTATGAATAATAAAGTATATTAAAAATGTTTAAAAACCTCACAAAGTTAGCCTGTTGCTTAGGATTAGCTAAGGGAGTCTTTGTAGTTTGTTCTCAAAATGTCCATTCTCATGATAGGTTGCAGCATTACAATTTTCTAAGTGAAGATGAATTACATAACTTATTAAAAAAACATCAAAACTTATCAATTCTCAACAGAAATTAGACTGAACATATTCTATCTTTGATGAGAGAATCTAATTCTGATATTGTGGTAATTTAAAAAAAAGATATTTTAGACATTCAGAAAGAATGCAGATAGATTGATTAGAATCTTGATGGAATAAGCTTTGGCTCAATTGTAAAGAAAAAATTCTATAAAACAATCACCTTTGGGCTTTTATGATGCAAATGAAGTGAAATTCTCTGATGAAGAGTAGATATTTTATTTATTTTAGAATCTGTATTGTAAGTATTCTAAGATCAGGAAATGCATTCTTAAATGAAGGTTTAAGAGTGATTTAAGGGGCGTCAATTGGATAAATATTGATTCAAAGAAACGAAGAGACATCGATGCCAAAATATTTCTTTGAGAAACTTCCAGAGAATATTCAGGAGTAATAAATTATTATGGTTGACCCAATGCTTGGAACGGGAGGAAGTGCAAGTATGGCATTAAAGATATTATAAAATTATGGTGTAAAGGAAGAAAATATTATATTTTTAACTTTGGTTAGTTGTGAACAAGGGTTGAATAAAGTCTTTAAAGAGTATCCAAACATTAAAATCATAACAGCTCAAGTTGATCCAATACTGATAAAAGAGATTAATTATCTGGCTCCTGGAATAGGCGATTTTGGGGATAGATATTTTGGAACGGTTAAAAAACATACACGTGTCGTATAAGTTTGATTGATTTGTATTATGTTATAAATAATATATTAATCATTAAAATGTATTTTTTTAACAATTATTAAACAGACATAGATCTAATTTCTAAATACAAAGTATATTTTTATTATGTTAATAAATAATAACATCAAGTCTTGATAAATATAATTTATTTGAATTATGCGTGATATAAAAATGATTTATAGAATTAAATAATTCAATATTAAAATTAATGAACACCGAATTTCTACCTAAAATGATTGATGCACCTCTTGATTTGGTTTGCTAAGCGCATAAAAATAAACCAGAAAAGGTTATAATGGATCAAAATACAAACCTTAATTCGAGATTAGCCTGCAATATGTGTGAGTTAGAATAACAAAATGCTAATGTTGAGGATTATTAAGCAGTAGTTGAAGCTTTGCAAAACGAAAAGATAAAGAGATGTGAAAACAGAAATAAATTGTTGGTTGAAAGTTTAGAATAGGCAGAAAACTTAGAAAAGAATGTTGATAGTGTTATGGAAAAAATAAATGATTATTTTGAATCAATTAAAAACAATGTGAAGAAATTAACAGCTTCTTTAAAAGATTAAAAAAAATAAAACTTAGAGTACAGTTTCTTTGAAGAACTGGAAATCTATATTAAAAAAAAAGATTAATCAACAGAGGAAAACGATATTGTAAAGAAAATCAGATAACAAATAATCAATTCATTTGGAAATTTGAAAAGAAAATTGGAAACATTTCCTTCAAACCTAGAGAAAATGTCAGAAAATGTCTTAAAGAAAACTCAAGAATTTTATAGAAGGAATTATGAGGAAATAAATAAACCTTTAAATTTAGAGTTGAGTGACACTTAAAAACAAAGAGATCCTTGCTATGCTTTAACCTTTTCTTAAGAATTGCTTTTTACTGGATGTGGAAAACAAATTAAAGTTTGGATCTTCAATTAGGGAAAAATGTAAGAGCATACAAAACTTAATGGCCATGCATTATCTGTAACACGAATTGTGACTAGTAACAAAGTTAAGAACAGTTTTATATCTGCAGCAGAATGCGGATCCCTAATAATTTGGAAGTAAAAGAATGAAAAGGAATGGGAATCCTTAAAAAAACCATCATATTGGACTAATTGCATAGTTTTAAATAAAGAGGAAACAGAATTGATTTTAGCTGGTGCTAATTGCGAAATTGATTTTTGGAGTGTGGATTTCAATAAAAATTAAATAACCTATAATTATTCATTGGAGAACAATCATTAAAATACAATATTTGATGTAACCTTAAATTCAAAANAAGATAAAAGCCACATCATATACTCTAATAATATGGATATTAAATATTTATCAATATATTATAAATAACAATATTATTAAATTATGATCTGATATAATATAAGAAGATATTTGATTTAATAAAAAATTAATTATTCAAATTCTTATGGTTTGGTTCTAAATTATGAATAATAAAGTATATTAAAAATGTTTAAAAACCTCACAAAGTTAGCCTGTTGCTTAGGATTAGCTAAGGGAGTCTTTGTAGTTTGTTCTCAAAATGTCCATTCTCATGATAGGTTGCAGCATTACAATTTTCTAAGTGAAGATGAATTACATAACTTATTAAAAAAACATCAAAACTTATCAATTCTCAACAGAAATTAGACTGAACATATTCTATCTTTGATGAGAGAATCTAATTCTGATATTGTGGTAATTTAAAAAAAAGATATTTTAGACATTCAGAAAGAATGCAGATAGATTGATTAGAATCTTGATGGAATAAGCTTTGGCTCAATTGTAAAGAAAAAATTCTATAAAACAATCACCTTTGGGCTTTTATGATGCAAATGAAGTGAAATTCTCTGATGAAGAGTAGATATTTTATTTATTTTAGAATCTGTATTGTAAGTATTCTAAGATCAGGAAATGCATTCTTAAATGAAGGTTTAAGAGTGATTTAAGGGGCGTCAATTGGATAAATATTGATTCAAAGAAACGAAGAGACATCGATGCCAAAATATTTCTTTGAGAAACTTCCAGAGAATATTCAGGAGTAATAAATTATTATGGTTGACCCAATGCTTGGAACGGGAGGAAGTGCAAGTATGGCATTAAAGATATTATAAAATTATGGTGTAAAGGAAGAAAATATTATATTTTTAACTTTGGTTAGTTGTGAACAAGGGTTGAATAAAGTCTTTAAAGAGTATCCAAACATTAAAATCATAACAGCTCAAGTTGATCCAATACTGATAAAAGAGATTAATTATCTGGCTCCTGGAATAGGCGATTTTGGGGATAGATATTTTGGAACGGTTAAAAAACATACACGTGTCGTATAAGTTTGATTGATTTGTATTATGTTATAAATAATATATTAATCATTAAAATGTATTTTTTTAACAATTATTAAACAGACATAGATCTAATTTCTAAATACAAAGTATATTTTTATTATGTTAATAAATAATAACATCAAGTCTTGATAAATATAATTTATTTGAATTATGCGTGATATAAAAATGATTTATAGAATTAAATAATTCAATATTAAAATTAATGAACACCGAATTTCTACCTAAAATGATTGATGCACCTCTTGATTTGGTTTGCTAAGCGCATAAAAATAAACCAGAAAAGGTTATAATGGATCAAAATACAAACCTTAATTCGAGATTAGCCTGCAATATGTGTGAGTTAGAATAACAAAATGCTAATGTTGAGGATTATTAAGCAGTAGTTGAAGCTTTGCAAAACGAAAAGATAAAGAGATGTGAAAACAGAAATAAATTGTTGGTTGAAAGTTTAGAATAGGCAGAAAACTTAGAAAAGAATGTTGATAGTGTTATGGAAAAAATAAATGATTATTTTGAATCAATTAAAAACAATGTGAAGAAATTAACAGCTTCTTTAAAAGATTAAAAAAAATAAAACTTAGAGTACAGTTTCTTTGAAGAACTGGAAATCTATATTAAAAAAAAAGATTAATCAACAGAGGAAAACGATATTGTAAAGAAAATCAGATAACAAATAATCAATTCATTTGGAAATTTGAAAAGAAAATTGGAAACATTTCCTTCAAACCTAGAGAAAATGTCAGAAAATGTCTTAAAGAAAACTCAAGAATTTTATAGAAGGAATTATGAGGAAATAAATAAACCTTTAAATTTAGAGTTGAGTGACACTTAAAAACAAAGAGATCCTTGCTATGCTTTAACCTTTTCTTAAGAATTGCTTTTTACTGGATGTGGAAAACAAATTAAAGTTTGGATCTTCAATTAGGGAAAAATGTAAGAGCATACAAAACTTAATGGCCATGCATTATCTGTAACACGAATTGTGACTAGTAACAAAGTTAAGAACAGTTTTATATCTGCAGCAGAATGCGGATCCCTAATAATTTGGAAGTAAAAGAATGAAAAGGAATGGGAATCCTTAAAAAAACCATCATATTGGACTAATTGCATAGTTTTAAATAAAGAGGAAACAGAATTGATTTTAGCTGGTGCTAATTGCGAAATTGATTTTTGGAGTGTGGATTTCAATAAAAATTAAATAACCTATAATTATTCATTGGAGAACAATCATTAAAATACAATATTTGATGTAACCTTAAATTCAAAAGAAACAAGAATGGTAACTTGTGGGGCGGACAATAAAATTCTAATTTGGACAAAGGATGACTAAACTCAAAAATGGAAATTTATTCAAGAAATTAATTAATAAACTTATGGAACAAAAGTTGCTTTTATTTCTGATGACTAGTTTGTTTGGATGGGCTGCGATTAAAAAGCTAACGATTAGATGTTTTTCTATAAATCATAAAGAGATGGCAAGTTTGAAAATAATAATAAGAAAACCTTCTAATTGGAAATTGATGAAGAATATGTTGATTATCATCTGAATCCCATCAGCTATAATTAATAAAAGAAAGTATATCTGTTGAGATTCAAGCGACATATTTATATTATCAAGATCACTGATGCTGATGTAACAATTGTTACAAAATAAAAATATGAGACAAACTTGTGTTTTGCAACATTATCTAATGATGGCAAATACTTGATAGCATATGTTGAAGATCTCAAGAAATATCAAATACACGAAATCAAATGGTGATGAATATTTATCACATTCCAAATTAGCATTATATTCATTATATATTATATTATTTAGAAAATTTATTCTTATTTTGATTATTCTTCGTTTCTACCATAATAATTATAAATGAAATCTTATGAAAAGGACTGAAACAAAATAAATTATATTATGATAATGAGAACAAATAATCTAATTAAATGGTCAAACATTAGTTTATTTCTAATCTCAATTTCATTGTATAATCATTTTCGCGCCTATAGATATTATTTATAGATATATCTTCTATAGTATTCAAATAACAAGTTAGAACAAAATGCTTATTTGATAAAAATGATGGGTTTTTATGCATGAAATAAATGAGTCCGTTATCAATAAATGAAGAGTTCAGAGTAGGAAGCCAAATGAATATTAAAATTCCATAACTAAAAGTAAATTGATTATTACATTTAAAAGCATTCTTATATTAAATAATGATATTTAAACAACAATACATACATATTTTATTTATTAAACCATTCAGATAATTTTGATTGAAAATAATTAAAAAGCCTTTTAGTATAATAATAACTAAATTTCTACAATATAATTTTATTCAGGTTTTGAAAATGTCTATTTTATTAAATATTTACAATTATAAGAAACAATTTAAATTATATTTGATTTAATAATTCGATTAAGAATTATTTTTCTTTAGCATAAATCAATCAAAACAATAATTTATGTAAATAAATATTCTTATTTTATATATATTTATTCTTTAATTCTCCAACAACTAAATATCAGAATGATCATAATAAAGCCTTAAATTGCAGGCTAATGAAAAAGACTAATTGTTTAAAATAGAAAAACCAATTTTATATGAATGATATGAGATTAGAACTTAATCAAAAATAGATTCTGATTATAATATCATCTACTTGAGGTTACTAAAATGTAATTCACAAAATTCTCTCAATAGGTTGAGCTTCTATTGAATATTAATGCTCTCACTACAAATAAATCCCACTAAATATAGAAATTTTAGTAACTTTTGTATTTGTAGTACCTATTAAATAGAATTATCAATTATACATAATTTAATTGCATTTTAGTTTCAATTAATTGTGAACCAAAAATCTGCAATTCATCGAAATCGTAGAATTATATAATACTAAAATAACATAAGATATCGAAATTCTCATTTTATCTACATTATCAAAAGAGTTTATTTCGATGAAGATAAAAGCCACATCATATACTCTAATAATATGGATATTAAATATTTATCAATATATTATAAATAACAATATTATTAAATTATGATCTGATATAATATAAGAAGATATTTGATTTAATAAAAAATTAATTATTCAAATTCTTATGGTTTGGTTCTAAATTATGAATAATAAAGTATATTAAAAATGTTTAAAAACCTCACAAAGTTAGCCTGTTGCTTAGGATTAGCTAAGGGAGTCTTTGTAGTTTGTTCTCAAAATGTCCATTCTCATGATAGGTTGCAGCATTACAATTTTCTAAGTGAAGATGAATTACATAACTTATTAAAAAAACATCAAAACTTATCAATTCTCAACAGAAATTAGACTGAACATATTCTATCTTTGATGAGAGAATCTAATTCTGATATTGTGGTAATTTAAAAAAAAGATATTTTAGACATTCAGAAAGAATGCAGATAGATTGATTAGAATCTTGATGGAATAAGCTTTGGCTCAATTGTAAAGAAAAAATTCTATAAAACAATCACCTTTGGGCTTTTATGATGCAAATGAAGTGAAATTCTCTGATGAAGAGTAGATATTTTATTTATTTTAGAATCTGTATTGTAAGTATTCTAAGATCAGGAAATGCATTCTTAAATGAAGGTTTAAGAGTGATTTAAGGGGCGTCAATTGGATAAATATTGATTCAAAGAAACGAAGAGACATCGATGCCAAAATATTTCTTTGAGAAACTTCCAGAGAATATTCAGGAGTAATAAATTATTATGGTTGACCCAATGCTTGGAACGGGAGGAAGTGCAAGTATGGCATTAAAGATATTATAAAATTATGGTGTAAAGGAAGAAAATATTATATTTTTAACTTTGGTTAGTTGTGAACAAGGGTTGAATAAAGTCTTTAAAGAGTATCCAAACATTAAAATCATAACAGCTCAAGTTGATCCAATACTGATAAAAGAGATTAATTATCTGGCTCCTGGAATAGGCGATTTTGGGGATAGATATTTTGGAACGGTTAAAAAACATACACGTGTCGTATAAGTTTGATTGATTTGTATTATGTTATAAATAATATATTAATCATTAAAATGTATTTTTTTAACAATTATTAAACAGACATAGATCTAATTTCTAAATACAAAGTATATTTTTATTATGTTAATAAATAATAACATCAAGTCTTGATAAATATAATTTATTTGAATTATGCGTGATATAAAAATGATTTATAGAATTAAATAATTCAATATTAAAATTAATGAACACCGAATTTCTACCTAAAATGATTGATGCACCTCTTGATTTGGTTTGCTAAGCGCATAAAAATAAACCAGAAAAGGTTATAATGGATCAAAATACAAACCTTAATTCGAGATTAGCCTGCAATATGTGTGAGTTAGAATAACAAAATGCTAATGTTGAGGATTATTAAGCAGTAGTTGAAGCTTTGCAAAACGAAAAGATAAAGAGATGTGAAAACAGAAATAAATTGTTGGTTGAAAGTTTAGAATAGGCAGAAAACTTAGAAAAGAATGTTGATAGTGTTATGGAAAAAATAAATGATTATTTTGAATCAATTAAAAACAATGTGAAGAAATTAACAGCTTCTTTAAAAGATTAAAAAAAATAAAACTTAGAGTACAGTTTCTTTGAAGAACTGGAAATCTATATTAAAAAAAAAGATTAATCAACAGAGGAAAACGATATTGTAAAGAAAATCAGATAACAAATAATCAATTCATTTGGAAATTTGAAAAGAAAATTGGAAACATTTCCTTCAAACCTAGAGAAAATGTCAGAAAATGTCTTAAAGAAAACTCAAGAATTTTATAGAAGGAATTATGAGGAAATAAATAAACCTTTAAATTTAGAGTTGAGTGACACTTAAAAACAAAGAGATCCTTGCTATGCTTTAACCTTTTCTTAAGAATTGCTTTTTACTGGATGTGGAAAACAAATTAAAGTTTGGATCTTCAATTAGGGAAAAATGTAAGAGCATACAAAACTTAATGGCCATGCATTATCTGTAACACGAATTGTGACTAGTAACAAAGTTAAGAACAGTTTTATATCTGCAGCAGAATGCGGATCCCTAATAATTTGGAAGTAAAAGAATGAAAAGGAATGGGAATCCTTAAAAAAACCATCATATTGGACTAATTGCATAGTTTTAAATAAAGAGGAAACAGAATTGATTTTAGCTGGTGCTAATTGCGAAATTGATTTTTGGAGTGTGGATTTCAATAAAAATTAAATAACCTATAATTATTCATTGGAGAACAATCATTAAAATACAATATTTGATGTAACCTTAAATTCAAAAGAAACAAGAATGGTAACTTGTGGGGCGGACAATAAAATTCTAATTTGGACAAAGGATGACTAAACTCAAAAATGGAAATTTATTCAAGAAATTAATTAATAAACTTATGGAACAAAAGTTGCTTTTATTTCTGATGACTAGTTTGTTTGGATGGGCTGCGATTAAAAAGCTAACGATTAGATGTTTTTCTATAAATCATAAAGAGATGGCAAGTTTGAAAATAATAATAAGAAAACCTTCTAATTGGAAATTGATGAAGAATATGTTGATTATCATCTGAATCCCATCAGCTATAATTAATAAAAGAAAGTATATCTGTTGAGATTCAAGCGACATATTTATATTATCAAGATCACTGATGCTGATGTAACAATTGTTACAAAATAAAAATATGAGACAAACTTGTGTTTTGCAACATTATCTAATGATGGCAAATACTTGATAGCATATGTTGAAGATCTCAAGAAATATCAAATACACGAAATCAAATGGTGATGAATATTTATCACATTCCAAATTAGCATTATATTCATTATATATTATATTATTTAGAAAATTTATTCTTATTTTGATTATTCTTCGTTTCTACCATAATAATTATAAATGAAATCTTATGAAAAGGACTGAAACAAAATAAATTATATTATGATAATGAGAACAAATAATCTAATTAAATGGTCAAACATTAGTTTATTTCTAATCTCAATTTCATTGTATAATCATTTTCGCGCCTATAGATATTATTTATAGATATATCTTCTATAGTATTCAAATAACAAGTTAGAACAAAATGCTATTTGTTAAAAATATTTATAACAATTGTGTATATATTTTGATTCAATATTCGCAATTATATATCCTTTAAAAAAATTATTTCATCTAATCTATTTTAAAGTTCTTAAGGCAAATCTACTTTGATTGGCTTTTCAAGTAAATCTTGAAAATATTTGATAATATGTTTGGCCTTAACCCTTTATCATCCTTCATTAACAAAGAGTAAAAAATTCAGCAATTTCCTCTTTATACTTAATTTATTTATCGATTGTTAGCATATGAATATTTTAGCTTTTTGATGTTGTTTTTGAAAATATTTATCCAACTTATTTCTTATGATTTTATATTCTCTGTAGTGTTATAGTGTTTATTCATATTTCCTGGCCAATTTAAAGTACCAAATATCATTGATAATATCATTTATTTCCATTATCAAACTCTTGCTAATCCTACTTTGTTTATGAGATCCCTCTGTTCTTTTGACAAAGATTTCCTATAAGTTTGTCTAATCCTTTATGATAATACTTTATTGGATCTTTGTAATTACCTTTGCTTTGCTGTTTAACTAAATAAAACACTGCCATCAAATTATAATAACATATTCTTAGTTCAAATTAATATTTACAACACAAGATATAATAAGATTGTGTTTTAAATTATACCTTGATTAATAGAATATAATTGGATTTGAATAAAGTTAGCCATTATATCTAAAATAAAAAATATTTTATTGGTTATAATTATTTGAAAAACTCAAAAAATATGATTTAAAACTAGGATAATGCTAATCAAAATGTGGAAAATCAAAATAAAGCTTATAAACATCTAGATTTGAGCTATGTAGAATTATTTTTAATTCAAGGATTTATATAAAGAAAATAAATTTGTCCAAGCAATTTAAGAAGCCAACAAGGCTCTGGAACTAATGCCAAAGCTTGCCTCTGCATATTTGTATAGAGGTATCATTTATTAAATGCAATAACTAGGATGGTGTCACAAAGAATAAAATTTAAATTAGGAGGCGTTAAACGATTTTACTAAGGCTATAGAGCTTGATCCTAATTTAGTCTAACCTTACCAAAATAGAGGTAAGTATAATAGATATATAAAAGCAAATTTATTATTGGATCTAAATAAGGATGAAGAAGCTATAAAAGATTTTTAAAAGGTTATATAAATTGATCCAAACTACATAAATGCATATTACAACAAATTTATTGCTTTAAACAAGTTAGGAAAGTATAAAGATGCTGTTAAAGATTTAAATAAAGTAATAGAATTAGATTCTACATATGTAAATGCCTACTATCAAAGAGGTTTACAATCAGTTAATTATGAATAGGTATCCTTCATTCAAATTTGGGGAATAATGAAGAATGTTTAAAAGATTACGATAGAGTAATTCAGCTCAATCCAAATCATGAAAACTGCTACTTTAAGAGAGGTTAATTTTCTATCAATTATTAGCAATGACTTTAAATATGTTAGGCAAAACAGAAGATGCAGTTAAAGATTATAAAAAAGTTCTTAGCTTAAATCCTAATAATGCAAATGCCTACAATAATTTAGGTAATCATGTTGTTAAAGTAGCTAATATTTTCCATACTTTGGGAAGAGATGAAGAAGCAATAAATTGTTATTAGAAGATAATTGAAATCAAACCAGAAGAACAAGATGCTTATTCTAATTAAGGTAATTATCATTTGATAGACCAGCCATATTGTTGAAAAATCTTGGTAAAAATGATGAGGCTATTAATTGTTACAATAAATTAATAGATCTAAATCCCAATGATGCTAACCCGTATTTTCGCAGAGGATTTCTTCTGATGCAGAAAAATAAAATTTAGTCATTATAGGATTTTACTAAAGCAATTGAATTAAACCCTTCAAATAAGGATGCTCACTATAATAAAGGTAGTGTGGTTATTATATTGTGTCTAGCATTATTATTAAATGAATTGGGGCAAGAAGAGAATGCTCTATTAAGCTATTAATAGGTTATAAAACTTGATCCAAAATATTAAAATGCTTACTTTAATCAAGGTATTTAATCTAATTTTACAAAGCAATCATTCTGAGAAAACTTGGAAAGAAAGAAGAAGCCTTAAATTCGTATAATATATTGTTGTAAATGCATCCTAATACAGTTGAAGCATACTATAATAGAGGTAATTTTCACCAAAAGTTATAATAGCTATTTTACTTGATGAAGTAGGCTAAAAGGAGAAAGCAATACAAGATTACAACAAGGCAATAGAATTAGACCCTTCTTATTAGAGTGCCTATTTGAATAGAGGCATTATTTATATCTATTCTAGGAATTTTACTAGATGAACTTGGAAGGATGGATGATGCCTTAAAGAATTTTAATAAGGTAATTGAATTAAATCCAAAGGATGCTAAGCTCTATAAGTGTAGAGGTTTTATTGATTTTTATTTTTAGCTGATTTGATGGAGAAAATGGGACAAAATTAGAAAGCTTTTAATGACTATCAACAAGCTATTGATCTTGACCCTCAATTCATTAATGCTTATTTTAATAGAGGTATACATTACTATCATCCATAGCATTGCTATATCAAAAATAAAAAAAATATTAAGAAGCGTTGAATGATTTAAACAAAATAATTGAACTAGATCCTAAAAATGCCTCAACCTTTAATAGAAGGGGTACAATTAACACATATTCTTTTAGGATGTATTTACCATGAACTGGAAAAAGATAAAGAAGCAATGATTGATTTCAATACATCTCTTTTATTAGATCCTAATAATCCTAGCACCTATAATAATCGAGGTTAATTTACAGTTATAACTCTAGCCAATCTCTTTAGCGATTAAGGATTAGATTAGGAAGCACTTAATGATTATAATTAGTCTATTTTGCTAGATCCTTTAAGTTCCTTTAAATATTGTAACAGAGGTTCTTGTTTGCTCAATTAAAATAGGGCTTTTATTAAAAAAACAAGAGAGAAATCAAGAAGCCCTTAATGATTTTAATAAGGCGATTGAACTTGACAATAAAAATGAAGAAGCTTATAATAGTCGAGGTAAGAAATTAATCTAGTTCAGGTAATTTGTATAAAGAATTGAATAAATTGGATGAAGCATTTAAGGACTATAATAAGGCTACCGAACTCAACCCTAAATATGTTAATTCTCTTTATAATAGAGGTANCTTAAATCCTAATAATGCAAATGCCTACAATAATTTAGGTAATCATGTTGTTAAAGTAGCTAATATTTTCCATACTTTGGGAAGAGATGAAGAAGCAATAAATTGTTATTAGAAGATAATTGAAATCAAACCAGAAGAACAAGATGCTTATTCTAATTAAGGTAATTATCATTTGATAGACCAGCCATATTGTTGAAAAATCTTGGTAAAAATGATGAGGCTATTAATTGTTACAATAAATTAATAGATCTAAATCCCAATGATGCTAACCCGTATTTTCGCAGAGGATTTCTTCTGATGCAGAAAAATAAAATTTAGTCATTATAGGATTTTACTAAAGCAATTGAATTAAACCCTTCAAATAAGGATGCTCACTATAATAAAGGTAGTGTGGTTATTATATTGTGTCTAGCATTATTATTAAATGAATTGGGGCAAGAAGAGAATGCTCTATTAAGCTATTAATAGGTTATAAAACTTGATCCAAAATATTAAAATGCTTACTTTAATCAAGGTATTTAATCTAATTTTACAAAGCAATCATTCTGAGAAAACTTGGAAAGAAAGAAGAAGCCTTAAATTCGTATAATATATTGTTGTAAATGCATCCTAATACAGTTGAAGCATACTATAATAGAGGTAATTTTCACCAAAAGTTATAATAGCTATTTTACTTGATGAAGTAGGCTAAAAGGAGAAAGCAATACAAGATTACAACAAGGCAATAGAATTAGACCCTTCTTATTAGAGTGCCTATTTGAATAGAGGCATTATTTATATCTATTCTAGGAATTTTACTAGATGAACTTGGAAGGATGGATGATGCCTTAAAGAATTTTAATAAGGTAATTGAATTAAATCCAAAGGATGCTAAGCTCTATAAGTGTAGAGGTTTTATTGATTTTTATTTTTAGCTGATTTGATGGAGAAAATGGGACAAAATTAGAAAGCTTTTAATGACTATCAACAAGCTATTGATCTTGACCCTCAATTCATTAATGCTTATTTTAATAGAGGTATACATTACTATCATCCATAGCATTGCTATATCAAAAATAAAAAAAATATTAAGAAGCGTTGAATGATTTAAACAAAATAATTGAACTAGATCCTAAAAATGCCTCAACCTTTAATAGAAGGGGTACAATTAACACATATTCTTTTAGGATGTATTTACCATGAACTGGAAAAAGATAAAGAAGCAATGATTGATTTCAATACATCTCTTTTATTAGATCCTAATAATCCTAGCACCTATAATAATCGAGGTTAATTTACAGTTATAACTCTAGCCAATCTCTTTAGCGATTAAGGATTAGATTAGGAAGCACTTAATGATTATAATTAGTCTATTTTGCTAGATCCTTTAAGTTCCTTTAAATATTGTAACAGAGGTTCTTGTTTGCTCAATTAAAATAGGGCTTTTATTAAAAAAACAAGAGAGAAATCAAGAAGCCCTTAATGATTTTAATAAGGCGATTGAACTTGACAATAAAAATGAAGAAGCTTATAATAGTCGAGGTAAGAAATTAATCTAGTTCAGGTAATTTGTATAAAGAATTGAATAAATTGGATGAAGCATTTAAGGACTATAATAAGGCTACCGAACTCAACCCTAAATATGTTAATTCTCTTTATAATAGAGGTATAATTGTTTTAACATCAAGGCATTTTATATTAAAATTTGGGGGAAAAAGAAAAGGCTCTAAAAGATTATATGCTAGTATTAGAACGAAATTAAGCTCATTCTGATACTTATAATTCTAGAGGTTAAATTATTCAACATTAATAGGTAATTTGTATATGAATGATGGTAAAATGGAATAAGCTATCAAAGATTATAATAAGGCCATAGAAATAAATCCTTTGAATCCATTATATCTAACTAATCTTGGTAGTTTATACTATCACCAAAAGGATTACATTAAAGCTAAAAATTTTTTCTCACTTGCTTAAGGCTGCTTAGAATAAATCATTGATTCAAAATTCAAATGTAGAAATCTTTCATCGAAAAATATTATATTTATTTAAAGTAAATTAAGGTTGATTTCTGAGATTGACAATCAATTTTAAATAACAAAAAATAATGTTGCTCAATTTGCAAAAAACAACTAAATTAACTAGTAATAAGAATAAGCATTTTTATTAGAAATCAATAAGATCTAGGAATAAGCAGCTAGTGGTATGAAACCAACAAATGAATAAATTGATAAGAATTAACAACAATAAATATTGGATTTCTTATTTAAAATAGAATAAGAAGTAAAAGCAATATATGACAAGTTAGAAAAAGAGTCTAAGGAATCAAAAGAAAAGATTTTATAATTAGAATCTAAGGTTTAGAAATTGGAGGAATAAGATTCTTACTAATTAGAAGAAGAATTAAATTTATTAAAGAAACCAGAGAACTTTCAATCATTTTTATATTACAAATCCTTATTTTGGCGCTTATATAATTATTTACATGCTATGTAATTAATGTCAACTAATCTATTTACAATAAACAGAGATGCTATGGTAGAAAGCAATTCTGAGAAAGTGGCTGACTTTCTAAAAACTATGTCAAGTACTGGTTCATTTATAATGGGATCTGTACCAATTATTGGAACAACATTCAATGCTATAAATGCAGCATTAGATTATATGGTTGAAAAAGCAAAAGAAAATAAATTTCAAATTAGAATGTAAGCACTAACCAAAATTTAATAAAAATTTTTTGTTTCTCCTTCCGAATAAGAGAGAGAAATTCAATTTGCAGCTATTGCTCTTGCAAAAAAGCAAAAACCCCATAATAATGATGACTGTGAATAAGGAGCATTAAATCCTTATATTGTTAAACTATCAATTCTTGAGAGTAATTATGAGACAAACTCTGAATCTGAATATTGGAAAAGAGGAATATAGGATTCTTTGAGAATCTTAAGATATTTAGAATCAAATAGTGATGCAATTTTAACATAACAAGATTCCAAAAAGTTTAGAATTGTAATTTAAGATGCAATTCAACCCAATAAAAAATAAGCAATGGATGAAAAGAAAAATAATAGTCATAATACTGAAAGAGTAGATTCAAGCTGTTGTTAACTTATTTGAATAGATATTTTTTTGTAAATTCTTATTATGATTGAATTTCTTATTAGAATTGATGTTTATGGATAAATATAAAAATTATCAGATTTTAATAGTATTGATCTATCTTCATAAGCGATTGGGTATCTTCATAATTTGAGATCTTCAATTGTGTAATTTAAGTAAGAAATCTTTGGGTTAGATAGCATCATTCTTTTTGTGATTAGATTCTAGACTCTAACCGAGAATCAAAGAAACCTTCTTGACCTTTCCACTTTTACCAATTCTCTAAGCAAGAGTCTTAAATCATTTTTATAATTTATTTATAAACACTATCTCATTACACAAGATAATCATCTTCCCCATTTATTTGATCTATATTTTTAAATCTATAATTAATTCTTTGAAAAAAAACATATCACTATTTTGTTTACAATCAATCTGATATTCCAATAGCATAAAGTTTTAATTCTTATTCTAGACTCGAATATAATAATAACTATTAAATATATAATTTTGACCATAAAAAATTTATAGAATCCTAATATTCTATTCACTAATAGATTCATGTTTTGATGGCAGATGAAGCATACAATATANAAGAGTCTAAGGAATCAAAAGAAAAGATTTTATAATTAGAATCTAAGGTTTAGAAATTGGAGGAATAAGATTCTTACTAATTAGAAGAAGAATTAAATTTATTAAAGAAACCAGAGAACTTTCAATCATTTTTATATTACAAATCCTTATTTTGGCGCTTATATAATTATTTACATGCTATGTAATTAATGTCAACTAATCTATTTACAATAAACAGAGATGCTATGGTAGAAAGCAATTCTGAGAAAGTGGCTGACTTTCTAAAAACTATGTCAAGTACTGGTTCATTTATAATGGGATCTGTACCAATTATTGGAACAACATTCAATGCTATAAATGCAGCATTAGATTATATGGTTGAAAAAGCAAAAGAAAATAAATTTCAAATTAGAATGTAAGCACTAACCAAAATTTAATAAAAATTTTTTGTTTCTCCTTCCGAATAAGAGAGAGAAATTCAATTTGCAGCTATTGCTCTTGCAAAAAAGCAAAAACCCCATAATAATGATGACTGTGAATAAGGAGCATTAAATCCTTATATTGTTAAACTATCAATTCTTGAGAGTAATTATGAGACAAACTCTGAATCTGAATATTGGAAAAGAGGAATATAGGATTCTTTGAGAATCTTAAGATATTTAGAATCAAATAGTGATGCAATTTTAACATAACAAGATTCCAAAAAGTTTAGAATTGTAATTTAAGATGCAATTCAACCCAATAAAAAATAAGCAATGGATGAAAAGAAAAATAATAGTCATAATACTGAAAGAGTAGATTCAAGCTGTTGTTAACTTATTTGAATAGATATTTTTTTGTAAATTCTTATTATGATTGAATTTCTTATTAGAATTGATGTTTATGGATAAATATAAAAATTATCAGATTTTAATAGTATTGATCTATCTTCATAAGCGATTGGGTATCTTCATAATTTGAGATCTTCAATTGTGTAATTTAAGTAAGAAATCTTTGGGTTAGATAGCATCATTCTTTTTGTGATTAGATTCTAGACTCTAACCGAGAATCAAAGAAACCTTCTTGACCTTTCCACTTTTACCAATTCTCTAAGCAAGAGTCTTAAATCATTTTTATAATTTATTTATAAACACTATCTCATTACACAAGATAATCATCTTCCCCATTTATTTGATCTATATTTTTAAATCTATAATTAATTCTTTGAAAAAAAACATATCACTATTTTGTTTACAATCAATCTGATATTCCAATAGCATAAAGTTTTAATTCTTATTCTAGACTCGAATATAATAATAACTATTAAATATATAATTTTGACCATAAAAAATTTATAGAATCCTAATATTCTATTCACTAATAGATTCATGTTTTGATGGCAGATGAAGCATACAATATAGAATTATTATGAAATTTAATGTGAAGAAAAGTGTTAAATTCATTGAATGGTTGATAGGAATTATTTAAAAAATAAGTATTATTCTATTTTTGAAAATTACAATTTAATATATATTTTAACATTATAATAATATTATAGTAAAAATACGAAAATCTACAATATTTTATAATCTTTAATTTGAAAACAATCATAATTTACTAATTAACAAGATATAAATGAGAATAAAATTTAATTGGCTATTATTTATTTAACAAATTAATTACACTTTGGAATCCATATATAAATAAATTTGAATCTCAAAATCATGGATTCTCATTAATTTAGTAAAAGAGGATATATGCTGCTTGCATAAGTACTTATTTTTTGGTAACTGCTTTCACAGTCTCATCGTTAAAAAGAAACCATTGATGATATCTCTTTGCAAATGTGAAATAATGCCCTGATTATAAATTGCCGGTGTGAACAATAACTGCTCTGAGTCTATAAGTTTTATTGCCAAAATTTAATATCTCAATTGGATATGTTATAGTTTTGTTGTTTTTATGGCATTAGGGTAAAAATTAGAATCGCTTGAGGTGTAACACTAGTATCGATGGAATAGAAACAATTTGAAGGCTCTTTATACAAGTTGACTGACATTTAGCACATTTATAATCTTTGAGAGTTTCTTCTTTTAGAAATTCATCTAGACATTATTCAAGAGTTTTGGATTGAGAGATGGCTAATGATAAAGTGAGGAATGGCTCAATTTATTTAACTTTATTTTTACAAAGTTGACATATAATATTAGTCTAAAGTTTTCCTATTAAATATAAAATATGCTACCTTTAAAGATTTACTCTACAAAGTTTATATAAGTGGATTTAGTTTCCTTATTGAAATTTAATATTTCATCTTCAATGTGTCCTAATAAATATAGTAAGAATTCATGACAATCATGCTGGTTTTTTGGATGAAATTAATTTATTATCAGAGTTTTAATGGTGTTAATTTTAATAGGAATAGTACTTGCTTTGATTTATTCAATTAACTCGAAATATGCCCAGGTAAATGAAACAATATTTGCCTTTTTTTTGTCTATTAGGTATTATTTATTTATTCTTTAGATATATTTGATTATAAAATAATTCAGATCAGCTATGCTTAATAGGGATTATAACCCAGAATGCATATAACAATAGTAAGAATCATTTTTCATCCCTATAAGAGGCAACTCATAGTTGGATTAAGAATTAGACCCAGATTAACGATTTAAAGCAGGTTCTACAGTTTTTGATCTTTTATCATTTGTTCTTGAGTGTTTTTATTTGCAAATAATCTCTGGATAAGCTTTATATTCTTGTTTAAAAAAAATCCAAACTGCCTCATTAACAATTATGTATTAAGTACAGTTATTGTTATCTAAAATACCTGGTCTTTCTCCATTTTAATACAAATATTATTTATATTATGAAATCCAATTTTCTTAAACCGCATAGAATTCAGATGATCGCTTATCTTTCATGAGTTCTTTGATTATTGTAGCTTCTAATTCTCTTTTCTCATTTGAATCTTACATACTTCTATATTAGGTAAGCATTTAAGTTGATTATGATGTGGATTGTGAAGATATTTGACTTGATCCTATTGACGGTTTTTTTCTCATAGGAAATAATGGTACGTATAATTATCTAATATATCCCTTTTTACTTCATACTTATCTTCAGATTCATCTTCGATATTTTCATTTTGCTTCATTTATGAATCGAATATAATCATAAAAAATATTAATATAACAATAATATAATAATAAGGATTTGTAAAATAACATGTCATTCTTAATTCTAAGATTTGATTGCTTAATATTCATCAAACATAGATTAGATTTGAAATCCTTAATTGGTTTCGAACTTAAGCTTTCCACCTTTAAATCTAATTTCAATAGATGCTGGGAAAACATTGAAGGATTGTGGTTTATCAATTTTTTCCCATATTCTATCCTTTGAGCTACTATAGAGTCGAATTCCTTGATAACCAATACCCAAAACTAAGTTTTATTCACCAAATTAAGACAAAGCTTCTTTGCAAATAATTTAAAATAATTATTAAATGCAGAATTCGTTTTTCAAGCATTCTGAAATAAACTGAATCATTGCTTTTGTTGAATCAACATTGATATTTTCAATTTAGGAGAATTGATTTTGGGTAGATTGAATTATAGATGAAAAGATGCCTTTTGACTTAACTTTTGCGATGTCTTCAGTTTCATTAATTTGAATAAGTGTGGATTAAGTATTTTAAATACTTGCCTTGAATTCCTTAAACTCTTAGGTTACAACGCAATTCCAATACTCTCTTTACTTAAGTTATAAAATGGAAGAAGGGATGATTTATTGTATGACATCAAAAGAGAGATTGCAGTTCTATAAATACAAATGAATGGCAGCTAATTTAATATATTAATTCTAAGTTGAAAATGGTATTGTAGAAATTTAGATATCCTTAACTAATTAGTAATATAACAGTTTCATCCTAGCACTGTCAGAATATAACAAGGTCTTCTCATATTCCATTTCCTAATATAAAATCTTTTTAAACCAAAGTTCTTTCTTTTTTTTTGCAAAAATAAAGCTATCCCCAAACAAATCACATATATTTTCATCATTTTACAATATTTTCACTCGAGATTTATTATCATATACATATAATTTGAAGTCATAAATCTATTGCAATTACAATACCTTCTAAATCTAGTCTAATACGTGCAACACTTTAGTATTGTTTTGAACATTAAATTCCCAAGGCTTTTCTTTCGGTATATAATGATTTACTATGATTTAAGTAGAATCCTTTTCTTTTTATTTTTTTTTTTCTTCAACTAAAGTAATATTTCTACTCATCATAGAGGATGCGCTTAATAATCTATGATTGCACTGATTACACTAAAGAGATTATTAATCATTCCCATAGTCAACTGTCTTAATTAGAGTTCTAGTAGGAGACACATAACTGAATCTATCAGGTACTTTTTGAGTTCCGATTCTTTGATTCCTGAATTTGTCAGCCTCTGATGGCAAATCATAAAAATTTTCAGGCAATCCTAAGTCCTTCAAAATTTATGGATTCTGTCTTGTAATATCTGACATTAGAACAGATTAAATAAATAAAGGAACCGCTATCATCCTTGATTCAATTTCTTTTTAATCATTCAATAAGTTTAAAGTAGTATTTTATTTTAAGAAATGAAGTTAGATCGTTGGGTATTTCTTTTTTATAAAATCCTAGATTTTAATACATTAACTAAATCTTAAAAATAATCTCTAAAAAACCTCTTCTATGCCAACTTCAATTATATATACTTTGTAGCTACTCAAATTTTCATGTCTTTCATCTAGACCTAAAGCAGTTACCTTAATCTTATTTAATTAAACTTTTTTTTCAGATCCTGCCCGAAATGCTTGCCTTTAAAATGTATATTTTGATTTCTCTTTACATTCTTGAATTATTTTTTGTAACTTAGCCATTTTTTCAATTTTATCATTTTGTGTCTGTTCGATAAATGTAATTGATTACCCTCTCATACCCTATAATATGTAAATATTTTAAAGTTGTTATTAATTCTCAACATCTAAACATCCACTTCGATCATCTAAAAATACACTCTAGATATATTGGTATTGATTATCCTATCTTTCTCCTATAATGATTAAATCACTAAGAATAAAAGCTGTCGCAATAATGACTTTATTGTTTTGATCTAAAATCGAAGTTAAAAGTTCAGTAATGTATTTTCTTTTAGAATCTACTAATTTCTAGCTTAGCTTATTTCCAAACCATTTCTCCATATCAAACAATTTACTGGATAAAAATTTATCCATATTTTTGTTGTTATCATCATTAATCTTTTTAAAAAGCTCTAAACTCTCGCATAAGTTTTTATAATCTGGATGAGTTTTTTCGGTATGTTTTATTAGGTCTTCTAATAGAAGATTGTATTTGGGTATTCTTTAAACAGGTTTAATTAAAAAACTCTCAATATCTTAATTATTATAGTCTTTGATTGAGGACATATTTTTAAGAAATTTTCTGAAATCCTCTTTATCATTTATGCTTTATTTAAGGGTTGACATAGATTTATTGAATCCTTCATAATAGGTGAAATACACTTTAAAAAAAGGAGCTAATCCTTTCATTATAGGTCCTAATAATTTGGATCTTTTATAAGGAAGAAATCCTTCTAAATCTTAAAGAAAAGAGCTATTTAACTCATACAATTATTTGAGATTATTAAATATAATTTCAATTTATTGTTTGTTTAACCATTGTTTAACTTAATTCTAGATGACAATTAATATTTTCAAATCATTTACATAATTTTTTTCTGTATTTATCAACTCCTCAATCACAAAATTTCGATATCGATGTTATTTCTCTTTTCTTAAAATTATGATTATTAAAATAATACTATTTATAAATTTTATACAAAAATCTAAATATTTTCTTAGCAGCAAGATCTTTCATCTTCTATTAATTGGGCTGTGAAATTTAATATTTTTTTTGCTGTAACTAATCTATTTACTGATATTAGAATTCCCTTTTTTTTGTTTTTGTGACTTATGTATCTAGAGCACCATTTCCACCCACTCTCATAACTTACTTGTTGATTAGCTGAGCTTATCCATATTTATTTTTCATCCAAATAAAAATAATAATAAAACTTTGTTTTTGCTTTTATTTTATTTAATCTTAATTATGCATTTATAGAATATTAATTCAAAATATTTTATCACACAGTCTTTTACATAGACATATATAAATAAATTTATATAAATAAATATATTTTCTTATATTAAAATTAAATGATCATTAGTGATGAAATTAAAAGAATACTATCAAATAATGACTTTTCAAGAACTAATAATTCATCTTTATCTACAAATAAATAAATGAACTCTAAAGAATTATCAAGAAATTAATCTCCAATCAAAAGGAAAGTATTAAAAATAAAAAATAACCTTATCACTAGAGATGATCACAATGATGTAAAATAGTCATATTTTCCATAAGAAAACTAATACTAGCTTTCACTCAATAGCTCTATTTTAGAAGATAAGAAATTGAGCACTATCTAATTTCCACTAATTAACTCATCAGACTAATAATTTGTTGATAGTAATAGCAGAACATTGTATTAAGCAGTGATTGAGATATTTCCTCTAGAGCACGAAATTTGGAAGGACTTAGTGGAATAAAATTAAACCATCGAAGAAGTTGTCAATAATAATGCAGAATATTTTCAAGGTTTACTGAAAGTTTGTTAATGTAAACTAGAATTAGCTCAATAAGATTTACTAAATAAGAACATTAATTTTAATGAAATTAAATATTATCAACCCAAAAAATAAACAACTTAATATTCAAGAGATTATTCCGGGTCGAAACATCTCCCTGATCAACAACTTTTGAATTAATCAAAAGCCTATGAACAGTATTATGCCTCTAATTTGGCTTATCTATAGAAAAAGAGTGTTTATAATGTATTATTTTCAATATTAAAGCAATAATTTGTACCTCAGAACTCTGAAAAAGTTGATAATTTTAAGCCAGAATACAATCCTAATTTGAACTAGTCAACATTCTTATCAACATACAACTCAAACTTTATGAATTGGAAGGGTCAATATCCAGGTAAAGTTACTTAATAATTGTCCCCTAAATAATAGTCAACCTTACCCTTTATTGCCGAAACTAATTATTCCAAAAATTTTAAATAAATTAAAACTGATAAAGTTGAATTACAAAAGCACATAAAATTGTATTTTTATATAAGCATCTAGAGGTCCATTTTGCGAGAATGCCTAATCTTTAATTAAAGAAACGACATCATAACATTTTTTTTAATCACATTATTCTGTGCCTTCAAAATTGATTAGACCTGTTAGCCCAAGATTATTTAGTACTAAATAAAGTTTTGAAGGATAATATAGATCATCTTTTAATAAGTATAGTATTTTCCTATTAGATCTTACGTGTCTAAAAATTTGAACACCGAATCATAATAATCCTCATTTGCAGAAAAGTTTTATGATAGCAATGCTGTCAAAGGATTGATAGATAAAAAAATAAAAACTAGAATTTTTTGATTTTTATTCTTATTTAAAATTATTAAAGAATAATTATACCATATTTACCATGATTTCTATATCTTATCAAACTTATATTTGAGTAATTTTAATTTGAAAGAACAGAATCTACATGTAACGAATTGTAAGAATAATTATTATTAATTATTCAAATTATGGGCAAAGTGATGAAACAGATATTATAACAATCTCGTATGCCATATAAATTTAATGATTCTATATTGATTAGATAGTTACTATTGTTATTATAAACAATTATTATATATTTATAATGGAAAGCTTCTTAGAAAAAAAAAGTCCTGTTCTTATAAAAGGATGGCAAAAGAGATATTTTGTTTATTGTGATAATCTACTCTTATATTTTAAAAACAAAGTGGATTTACCTCCTTATCAACCAAAAGGTATTTAGAAATATCTAATGATAAAGGAGTTATAATGAAATAGAATATTGTGTAGGTGGATTATTTAGACCCTAATAAAAACGAGTTTATTATTCATGTTGGTTAGAGAAAATTTTAGTTAAAAGCAGAAAACAAGGAAATAAAGGAAAAATGGGTATTCATAATGTTTGATTTTCAGCTAGATATTTTGAAAGTACCATTTAATTAAACATCCAAAACAAAGTCTGAATTATCCACTATGAATAAGGTCAAGTGGTAATCAATAATTATTTTCAAGGCATGAAATACCTATACAAACAATAATTTAATTTTATTTGAGAAGAGAAGAAATTTTATCCAATATTATTTAATAAAAAACACAAGATACATAAAGTTCATTAATTAAATCATCCTATATCTAATAGACAATTGAAGCTATGGGTGATAAAGTAATATTTAGTAAAATATAAGAACAAAGAGTTTATTTTGAGATTGTTGGTTGAAAAAAAGTCTGTCAAGAATCCATTAGTTAAAAAGAAGAGATGGTTGTTGCTTTTCACTTCCATAAGTATTGAGTCTTTAGACTAGATTCATTAATTTATTAAGTTCATTCCTTAATAATACACTTTGGATACTATAAATTTATTAAAATATGAAAACAACTTGGCAACATTGACAAGTAATAGTTATATGTAATAGCGTAATAGAGACAACTATAGAATTATACTAAATCTAAAATTTACAGTTTGTTGTTACTAATGAATATCAAATAAATTTTATATACAATGGTAGAGTATTCGAATTAATATTTCCTTATTTAAGTGATGCTAAAAAACTACATGATTATATCTTTAAATGTTAACAAATTAATAATAGTATGCCTGTTTAAGTAAGTAGAACTAATTAAATACCTGTATATAAAATGTAGGATAGTAAAAGAAGAATTATTAATCTGAAGGGAAAAACTATTTTAGAGAGCTAAGTAGAAAAGAAGATTAATTCAACTCAATGGAAAAATGTTATTCTTACTCTGAAGGAGCATGCTTTATTTTGGGAATTCGTTGATACTGAAGAATATTCAAATATTGAGTTGAAATCTATATCAACAATTGAGTAATGTAATAGAATGTTCACTATTATTGTAAGCTATTGAAATTCTATGTTAGGTAAATGATTAAAATACAGTTCAATAACAATTTAGAGTATCAACAATACATGAAGCCGATGAGTGGACTGGGTAATTATCATATTTGACAGATGTTGAAATTACATTTAAAGTATTGGAGAAATCACAAACTCTATAAAATTATTAATAAAATGCATTAACAAACTAATCCTAGACTTAATAATTAAACAAATAAAAGACTTAATAATAATAGTTAGAATAAAAGAAACCCTCTTTTTTTCAATAGTTTTTTTGTTGGGGAGGTGAGAGAAAAGAATAATGATTAATAATAGAGTAGATATTTCATCATAAATCATCCTTTTTTTATTATTTATTTTATTATTCTTTATACTGCTTATATTGCTGATCGTGATCAAATTTTAGATTTCCTTCTTACCTTTCTTTCATTTTCTATCTAAGTTCTTCCACATCTTGAGTATTCAACTTTCTATTTGAAGTATCAAAACTAGGTTTAAATCTGCTACATTTTGCCTTTGGTATATTCTAAGTTTCTAGAATTGGAGCTAGAGGGTTGGGGCACATTAATTTCGCATCCCATTCATCATATGTAAATTTTTAGATATTCTAACAAGAGTCCTTTTTATTGTAGCCTGCAACCAAAGCAACTAAAACAACTAGAATCACTCTAAAACGCATTTATAAATTATTATTATTTATATTAGTGTAATTTTTACTAAATAAGGTCAATGTAATCTTGGTTTCGAAATACATTAGATATCTTCTAGAATTGAAATACAGATTTATCATAATAATATCAAATCAGGTAGAGCCTTTAATTTTTAATTTTGATTAGATATTTTGTAAATTGATTTCTTGGATTACATAATAATATATTTATCAATCCACAAAGAAATGTACAGCGATTTATCTAAGTTCTTTATAGGCAGAAACAATAAAGATAGGCAAATGGGACTCTATAAAATAATCAATTTAAATCCAAGCCACTTTAGACCTATTATTTGTATGGTATTTCATTTTTAAAAAAACGAGATAAAATATTACTAATATCCAATTACCTAGGTCAAAAAAGAATTTTGCAAATAAAAGGACTGGAAATAAAATAATTTCCATTTTTTATTTTTGTATCATAATAAGTTCCTTATTTTACTTAGTTTTATCTATATATTGTTACATTCCTATACTAATTATCACACAAATTTGTTACTTTCATATATTGATTTATGATGGAGGAATAGAAATTCTGAAATTCCAACCCAGGAGTGCATGACAATTGGACTATATATGAAAATATTGTGCATTCTCTCAAAAAAGTGAAATAGGAATAAAAACACTAAATTATGAAAGAATTCATTATTTATCAAAAGCTTCACATATTGTTTTCTCTATTAAATTTGAGTATTTCGTATTTGTCTTTACAATGCTAAAAAATTAAAAAGATATCCAAATATCTAAGCTACTCCTTACATAAAAAGCAAAAGCATAAATGACATTTTGAATATATTCTCAGTGCTATAAATATAATATGGTAATTTAGATTCCTCTTTGACATTTGATATTTTATTATTGTCAATTTGATGTTTTCTGTTCACGTTTTCCTTATACCAAATCTATTTTAAATATTCCATTCTTTCCGTAGATCTAAGTATATTTGAAATAGTACATTGAATTGTCTGCTGATTTAATATAGAGATTCCACTTTTCATCTTTGGAAAAATCATAATTTTCATACATATTAATATATAAATATTAATGAATAAAAATTAGATTCTAAACAAAAAATACATTATCTGCTATGGTGGTCAATTGAAATACTATAGGAAGAAAACTAAAAGATAAGTTCATAAAACAGAAGATTACAGTGATTAAATTTCTTAACCTTTGCCTCCTATTTTACAAGCTGCAAGAATCAATACACAATTAGAAAATATTAATCTTAAATACAGAACCAAGCCGCATTCTAATTACACTACCACTACTCCAAACAACAAAAATACATCTCTGCCACTTCTAAAAATATCGCCTAATGATAACGAAGAGTAAGTTAAGTAGAAAATCAATTCATGTTTTCTGTCATCAAATTAAGCTAAAGTTATCATTAAGAATGATTTTCTAAAACAAAATATGATTGGATATAGTAAAGTGAGCACAATTATGATAATTTGATAGTATATTGTTAAAATTATTATTTAATAAGCCATTAAATTACCATAATATTTTAATAAATCAAACTTGCTACAATGTTGTAATAACAAATTTACTAACATCTTCACTACGGGAACAGATATAGGAAATAAATTGGTAATGTAGATTATTTAACTAATTATTATTTTGTATAAACGATAATAAACTTGAACTTCTAAGATAAAAATTCTGGTGCTTAAATCATGAATCAGTACTTTATTAGCTGAATATTTAAATTATCTTTAATATAAGTAAAAAATTAATTAAAATGAGAATAAAGCAGTTAGAAAAAGATTTCTGATTCTATAAAACAGAACTGAAGAAATACTTACCAATAAAATAAACCCTTTTCAAATAAAAGAATATAGTGTGAATTGAAAAATTAAGTAAAAAGTAAAAATGATAAGACAATTTTAACGAATTTGTGGAGTAGTTGAGAACAAAGACATTAGATAAAGCAAACAAAATAAAGAAGCGCTTTATTAAATCTAATAATAATAAAATATCAACAAATAAGCACATTTAGTAGATGTATAAAATATGGATTTATTTAAAACCTGGAATTTTTAAACACAAAGAATCATAATTATCTCACAAAATAAGCACTCCCAGAAATTTACCAATATTTGATTTTCATGAAGATATTCCTAGAATTGATGATTTAAGATATAAGACTAGATATTAGTTTTGAATTCTTTTACTGTAGAATAGAATGGTGAATTGAAGAAACTGTCATCTATAATAATGTTTAGAATGAGGAATCTAATAAATAATGATAAATAATTTATATAAATTTATATATATATATTAATGGATAAGAAATACTAAGACCTAGTTGAAAAGAAGTTTATTTTAGAGAATGAACTCAAAAATTTGGAAAAGAGTATATTTGATGAGGAAACAAGATATTTGGAAGAAACAGGTCATATTGGCAATGTGATAAAAGGATGGGAAGGATTTTTGAGTATGAAGAATTCTAAATTGGGTGGGAATTTGTAAAAGAAAGGCAAGATAAACCCAAATGACAGAATATTTTCATAGAGTAGCAAGACGTCACCTTTTGTTTAAGAAATTTCACAACCAATTTAGACAACAGGAACTTAAAAATAAGCTTTGAATGAAGGAGTTGGGGAAGAAAAAAAAGAATATCATTTTAGAAGAACAAAGAAAAATAGTAAATATGTGAGATTTCAAAAAGGGTAAATATTATTTAACATAGTTTAGTGAAGGAGGGTATCATTCTCCAATGACTTCCAGTGATGAATACAATGAAAAGAAGGGCAAGGTACAAAAAAGAATTTGAAATTTTTAAAGATATATAATATATATTTACTATATAATAGATATTTAAGTGAAATGAATAGGAATAGTATGATATTATTAATTTTTTTGTTAAAAATTACAGATGGTATATATATGTTCATATCTTTTTACAGCCTCAACCATTAGTTTGGGTATAAGTGAAGCAATCTGGTCAAATTCCAGCACCTAGATCAGGTCATACTTTTGTAACTGTTGGAAAAACTCACATACTATTTGGAGGATTAGATAGCGAGAAGAAACCAGATGCAGAAAAGAAAAATACAAAGATAGCGCCAAATAATTAAGGTAGATATTGTAATTAACATATAAGTATATTCATTGAGAGTAGCAACAAATGCTTGTGAATGGAAGTTAGTATAATGCTCTGGTGATCCACCATTGCCAAGAACAAATCATGCAGCATGTGCCCTTTCTAGTGATAAAATGCTTATTTTTGGTGGGTTTTACACATCAAATCTCCGTTTTAATGACACATTTATCTTAAGAACTACTAATTTCTAATGGTCTCAACCACCCAATTAAAAAGTAACTGGCGAACCTAAAAATGCTGAATCTAAGATAGGTGCACCAGAACCAAGAGGAAACCATTCAGCAACATTTCATAAAAACAAAGTATATGTTTTTGGAGGACATGGAGGAGTTGGATATGCAACTAAATCATTCAATGATTTATATGTTTTAGATTGTGAAAGTTTTGAATGGTCACAACTAGAACCTAGTGGAACACCACCTGATCCTAGAGGAGGACACAATTCTTAAATTATGGGATAGAACGATTTGTTAATGATTTTTGGCGGATGGAATCAAATTTCGTAATTTTAAAATGTCATCATTTATGATATTAATAACAATAGTTGGGTAGATCCAGAAATATCACATGAAATACCTAAGTGGAACATGGCAGGAATTATGGTGCCATCTATTCCATCTTGGAAATATTTCATTTTTGGTGGACAAGTTGGTAACTTTGAAGAAGGTGGTAACAGAACAGCAAGTAGATTAGTAGATGATACATTTGTATTGGATGTAGATGCTAAGAAATGGTCACCTGTCTAATTAGAAGAAGAAAAACCAGTCAAACCCAAGACTAGAGAATCAACTACTTTAATTTATGATCCATAAGATTCTAGAATTATGATGTTTGGTGGATGGTCAAATGCTTGGATGAATGATATGTATGCATTGAATGTCTCATCAATTGTTGGACCTCCATATGCTATCTATTCAATTAAACCATGTTTGGGTCCATTAACAGGAAAAACCAAAGTGTCTATTACAGGAGATGGATTCAGAGATTCATAAAATATTATCGTCAGATTCTTTTCAGGAAAAGCTTAAGAGGATGTTCCAGGAGTATATGTTAGTCCAACTGAATTAACTTGTGAAACGCCTTCATATGAAAAACATGGAGCTAGAAAATCTGAAGTTAAAGTTAGTGTGGATAAATAAGATTTCACTATTATGAGTCAATTTTATTCCTATTTCTTAAACTCAAAGGCTGAAAAAACATTAATGTTTGGACCAGGAGTGTTGAGAGAAAATGCAATAAAAAATGATACTATGTTCTACATTCAAACAAGAAATTTAAATAATTAAAATAGAGAAAGTGGTGCTGATGAATTTTAAATTGAAATCACTAGACCTGATGTTTTAGCAGAATTGGAAGAGGAAAGATAAAGAGAATCAAT